CAAACCCCTACCCCGGCTTTGCCCCCGGGGGCCCCCGCCTGACAACCCTGGTCTTCGCTCATTCGCACTTCTTTGCGTTGGTCTTGAAGTTAGCTTCTCTCAGCTTCTCCAAGACCTGCGTGAGATGACCCTGATGCTCTTCGAGGGTCTTACTAAACACTAGGATATCATCCAAATATACTACAACAAACCTATCTAACCACGGCCTAAACAGATCGTTCATACAGCGCTGGAAAGTCACTGGCGCGTTGGTTAGTCCAAAGGGCATCACGATGAACTCGTAGTGCCTGTATCTAGTCCGGAAAGCTGTCTTATACTGATCATCAGGATGAACCTCTATCTGATGATATCTGGACTTTAAATCTATCTTCGTGAAATATCTGCACCCCTGCACTCGATCTAGAAGATCATCTATACTAGGCAGTGGCTCAACATTCTATACTATAATAGCATTCAGACCCCTATAGTCTATACACATTCTAAGCTCTCCCTCCTTCTTGGGGACAAACAGGACAGGTGCTCCAAATGGAGACGAACTGGGCCTAATCCAACCCTCCTCGAGGAGCTCGTCTAGTTGCTTGCGCAGCTCCTCTAATTCCCGCAGAGACATCCTATACACGGCTCCTTTGGGAGTTCTACTGCCAGGCTCAATCTCAATACGGTGCTGGATAGGCCGCGGTACTACTCCTATCGGCGGCTCAGCTAAATCTTTAAACTCCTCCAGCAGCTTGGCAATAGCAAGGTCTATAGGCTTCTCTTCCTTGGGCTCAGTTACTGGCCTAACATAGGCTACAAAAACCTGTTCCTCTAGTTGCTCCTTCTTCACTAGCCTTGCGAACGCAAGAGCACTAAGGCAGCAATGCGTCAGGGAGTCGTCTACTCCTGACACATGGAACAGCCGGACAGTCTTGATGCCGCCTGACGGGCTAGGGAGCCTACACTTGTGCTCTCTCAAATGGAGAGTGGCCCCTGCTGCCTCTCCCCAGTCCATACCTAGGACTATGTCAAACGGGAGGCTATCCTCTACGACGAGAGTCAGGGAATGGAGAACTTTCTCCACCTTCCCATCCTGTTCGAGGCGAAAATACGCCTGGACTCCCTCTACGTACTCTTCCGCTCGCATGGTGCGATTGTCCGCGAGGATACTTACTATGGGGTCTGCCAATCTCTAGACCTTCAACTGCAACTTCAGCTTCTGCAGCGCCTTCCTACTAGTATAACTACGAGTGGCTCCACTATCCACTAAGGCGCCAGCTCGACCTCTAAAAATCTTTGTGTCCACTAATATAAGTTGCCCTTTTTTCTCCTTTTTCATCTTGGCCCAGGCGGGCATCCTTTCCTTCAATTCTTCAGCCACGCCTGTGAGGGAGGTGTCTAGAGAGACTCTAACACAAGCAGTCTCTGGACAGCCATCTAGACACCGGCTTGCAACCTCTGCCATAGGCACATGTGGTGTGGGAGTTTCCTGCCGGCTAGTGCTACTTTCCCCACATGGCCTTGGGGTAGGGGCAGTCGCTACCCCTACCGGCGGCTGCCTTTTGGCTCTTGAGCAGCCGATCGGGTCTCCCTGTACTTTGGACAGTACTTAATGATCTGGCCAGGGTCACCGCAATAAATGCATTGTACCTGGGTCACACGCTGTTGCCATATGCGCTGGTCCAGACCCAAATCTTCCGAAGGCCTGCCTTGAGGCAGCCCTGGGTCCCAACCACTTCTCCTATAAGGGGACCTATTCCCAGACCGGTTTTGCGGGGGACCTTGACCCCTTCCTCCCGCTTCGCGGTTTCCTCCTCTGCCGCCAGCCCCCTGATCGCCCTGAGAACGGTTCCCTGAGGCCCGGCCCCCTTGGCCCTGGCCTCTTCCTCCTCCTTGCAGCCTCCCTCCAGCCGCGACAGCAGCATAGGTCCTCCCCTGACTGCTGCTACTGTCATCTTCCTCTAACCCCCACTCAATCTGCTCGTAGGGGATCTCGTCAACACTACCCTCATCTAGAGTGAGGACAAGACTATCCTTAGTCTTAACTTGCCCTTAGATAGTGCGACCTTTCAATTGCTTCCCTTTGTCTAAGTCTTTGTGCCATAAGGTAGAAAGTGACACTGACTTTGCTTCAAAAGACACCACTTCACGGCTAAGGGAATCATAAGTGGTGGCAGGTTCTTCACTCTTTGCGAAGAACTGCCCTCGAAAGGCTTCGGGCATAGCTCGATAGAAGAGGCTGACCAACTGGGTCTCAGTGACCCCATGGTCAGGAACAGCCACTAATCCGTCCATCATGCCCTTGAGTGCCCTGACACTCGTCCATTTATGAGCATGGATGGTCTGGAGCTTATCTGAGGCTTTAACACTACGAGCGGCATCCGCAAACCGCTCGCGCAACAATTTCATGAAATCGGCGAGGGGAGTGAACGATGAGTAGGCCACTGCATCATTGTTGCAGTTAGCAGCGCGGACTAGGGACCTTGCGAAACTGGCGGCCTCATCTCTAAGCGCATGAATGACAATTAGCACGTGCTGATCTGGGGAGACCTGTTGCAAATGCATATAGGTCTTGACGTTGGTCTCCCAATTGTCAAAGTTCTCTTCCCTCTTTCCACTGTAGGAATCGGGGAACTTGACTTTGACTGGTTCCCTACGAGGACGTGCCTCTTCCTCCTTGGGAGCGGTCAGCTTGACGCCTTCAATGGCGCCCACGCATAATCGTTCTGTCTTCTCGAGGCAATGATTCACCTCGGCCCCAACTGCGCCTACCAGTTCGCGGGCGAAATCCCGAAATCCCATCCGCATCGAGCGCACGGCCATATCCCGACTTCTACTAAACTCATACTGTTCTCCCTGTACACTGGCTAAGCGCTCAACACTCTGAGCAATAATCTCCACCTTTCGTTGGAGATCCACCTGGGCGGCCATCTGCTCTCTCAAATTCTTTATTTGCTCTAGGTCCCTGGCCGCCTCACTCGCTGCTTCCACTCTCCTCTTCTTTTCCTTCATCATTCTTAGTTTCCACTCCATTCTTTTCTCATCCTCCATTGCCTGCCGCTTCAAGGCATCTTCTTCCACATCCCACTCTTTCATGGCGGCCTCCTGTTCGTCCTTAGGAATATACATGGCAACCTCCTCCTCTTCTCCCAAAGACAAGTTGGTGACCCACTCTGAGATCCTTTTCTCCATCTCATCAATTTTACTCCCACTGTACTGCCCTCGTTGCTCTCTCCTCCTTTCCAACGGCTGTTCATCTTCCTCCTCTTCCTCTTCCACCTCCTTTAACTTCGCTTCTTCTTCTTTCTTCAACCTCTCCTTCTCTCTGGCCATCTCCTCCTCAATCTTCTTCAGCTTCGCCGCCTGCTCCTCCTGTAGGGCCTTCTTCTTGGCCTCCTTCTCTCTCTTCTCCTTCAGAATGGCAGCCATCTTCTCCTCCTCTTCCTTCCTATAGGGCTTAGTGGAGGCACCTCCCCTGGTATCTACTCTACACGTGAACGTGTGCCAAAACCCCAGGGGAAAAAGGAGACGCCAGAGGGTCCCCCAAAGGGAGAACCCAACGAGTAAACCATACATGGGGTAGTCATCCATGGTGTTCAGGTGCACGACAATGTCCCACTCCTCACCACTTAGACCAACCTGCAGACTCACTGACGGACTGACTCTCTAGGGACCATAGGGTAGGACCTTGTCAGCTATGGTCACTAGCCTAGACCTACTCTAAGGCTGTGAACCAGTGGCTGATCTGGAGGCATTTAAGGAGATCCCCCTTAACTCCGTAAGAATTCTTTAACGTCGCAGACAGGACGATGAGATCAGCTTGGTTCTGCCTGTGCTTTCAGCCCACAACTCAGCCTTTCCGGCCTACTGTGCCACACCGAGCAGCCCGCCGGTCTGTACCGGTCCTTGGGAGGGTTCGTATGCCCCGGGACAGTCGAGTCGTCAGACACAGATCCTCAACCTTACTTGGTCCGGTAGGGGAGTGGTTCAAACAGGCCCTCAACACTTAAAGACTGCCTGGTGTGTCAGCCCCAACCCAGTCTTTCAGGCCCACTGTTCCATACCAACCGTGTCCAGCCGGTCAGCACCGGTCCTTGGGAGGGTTATGCCCCCCTGGACAGTTGGATCTTTCACAGCCTCAACCCTACTAGATCCGATAGGGGTTTCGTCATCCAGGCCTATCCTTCATACACAGAGTACTATCACTTAGGACAGGAGAGACTCAATGCAGAAAGAAGAGACAGACAGACTCAGACTTGGCAAGTACCGCCGGTGTGTGCACATCCACAGGGTGAGGGGATAGGCTAGGGGCTTGGCGAGATGTAACCAACTCCAGCTTGGTCAACGTCTTGGTCAACGACGCCGGTCAACTCCTCGATCAACGGTTGGTCAATGCGGCAAGACCCCGATCAACACCCCGGTCAACGTCCGATCAACCCTCCGGTCAACTCTCCACCTCGGCTATGGCTGCCGGCACCTTCTTCTTCGCCACCCGTCTTCTCCTTCCTCCTCCTTCACCTACTTCTTCCTTTCTCCTTTTTTTTTTTTTTTTTTTTTTTTTTTGTCACCCTCGGCTATGCCTGTCTTCTTCCCCAATGTCCCTCCTTCCACACTTCTTCCTCTATCTCTCTCCTCGGTCCCTCCTTCTCTATCCTCCTTCGTCACTCCGTGATGATGCTCCGCGGTTATGGCCGCTTTCTTCCTCCTTCGTGGGTCTGCACAGCTCGCTTCACAGGTAAGTGACAACCAAACTTGTATCGCTCATCTCTCTCTCTCTCTCTCTCTCTCTCTCTCTCTCTCGCCGTAGCGGTATCCTTAGCGCAGCAAGTAGTAACCCAATCTTGTATC